GCAGCGGCAGCAGCAGCAGCAGCAGCAGTAGCGGCAGCAGCAGCAGCAGCAGGGCTCACAGAGGTCCAATTCTTCTCCCAGTCGCGCCGTGGGTTTGGGATGACGACGAGTTTGCTGCTGCTGCTGCTGCTGGAGCAGACGCAGCAGCAGCTGCTGCTGCGAGTTTCCTTGACGCTGCTGCTGCTGCTGTGCGCGGGCAGCTGGTGCAGCAGCAGCAGCAGCAGCATCAGATGTGTTTGCAGCTGCAGCAGCTACGGGAAGCAGAAGCAGAACTCTCGTGGATTTGCCGCAGCAAGAAGAAGGAGCTGCTGCTGCTGCAGGAAGCAGCTGAGGGTGCAGCACTGGACTGCGGCAGCAGCAGCAGCAGCAGCAGCAAAAGTGGAAATGATGTCCCGGAGGATGCTGCTGCAGCTGCCTTGTGCCATGTAGAAGAGCTCCTGCTGCTGCTGCAGCAACAGCAGCGGCAGCGCGAGCAGCAGCTGCAGCAAATCAAGAGTGAGAAGCAGAGGCTGCTGCTGCTACTGCAGCAAGGAGGAGACAGAAGGCAGCAGCACGTTGCTGTTCTCTGCAAGGAGGTGCTCTTTCCTGTACGCAGTTCCACAGTTGTCCTTGCTGCTGCTGCTGCTGCTGCTGTTTGTGCTGCTGCTGCTGTTTATGCTGCTGCAAGGGCTTCTCCCAGCGGTACACGCGCTGCTGTTGCTGCTGCCAGTGCGGCTGTCACAGCTGCTGCACCACCTGCTGCTGCTGCTGTTGCTGCTGCTGCTGCTGCTTTGCCTAATTTGGTGTCGCTCGGTTTAGTTGCTGCTGCCCCCTTATCACGATCCATCTGCTGTTCATTCTCACGTGGTGTTTGTATGTGCTGCTGCTGCTGCTACTACTACTACTGCTGCTGCTGCTGCTGCTGCTGCTGCTGCGCAGGTCTTGTGTTTGGTGTCGGGCGTCTTCGCCACGGCCGCCTCGCCTCCAAGTGGTGACTCGCTCAACGTAAGCAGCAGCAGCAGCAGCAGCAGCAGCAGCAGCAGGAACAGG